AGCGCCACGGCATCGACTTCGATCAAACCTTCGCTCCCGTCAGCCGTCACACCTCCGTCAGGATTCTACTTGCCATTGCCCCCGCTAAGCATCTACCACTGCGGCAGATTGACGTGAAGAACACGTTTCTATACGCACTAGTGGACGCAACCATCTTCGTGGAGCAGCCACACACCTACGGGGAAGGATTCTCCAGGGTCTGTCAGCTGAAGAAGTCCCTCTACAAGATCAAGCAGGCGCATTGTCTCTGGCAGCTGCATCTGCATAAAATTCTCTTGGAAATCGGCTTCAAGCAGCTGCCGCACGACCCGGGAATGTACCGCCTTCACTTCAGCGGCGACTGCATTCTCCTGATAATCTACGTCGACGACTTGCTGTACACAGGCAGCTGCAAGAAACTCCTTAACCAGTTTGAGGAGAACCTGGCGCAGCACGTTGGCATTACCATCAACCACAATGTCAAGCAGTTTCTGGGTCTGAACATCACCTACGCGCGAGAAGCAATTCATCTGTCAGCCTCCAAGTACACAGAGCAGCTTGGGGAACGCTTCAACATTTCGCCCGCACTACTCTCAACTCCCTACCGCAATCCTAGTACCAACTACAAACCAGACAACAAACCCCTGTCCCCTGCGGGACTTCATCAGTACCAGTAGCAACTGGGCTGTCTGCTGTTTCCATCAGTCACCTGCCGACCCGACCTCTCGTACATCGCCACCCAACTGGCTCAGCACTCTCGCAAGCCAGTAACTGAAAACCAGCTGGACCTAGAGCGCGCTCTGCAGTACTTCATTTCCACACCTATCACCGAGCTCTCCTACTCCACGCGGACGACAACCTCCTTCAATCTCAACGGCTACGTGGACGCAGATCATACAGCTGATCCTGCAAATCGACGGTCCCGAACTGGCTTTGTTTTCCGTCTGGAGCCAACCAGAGCAATCTCCTTGAATCACAGAAGTAGGAGCTGGTTGCCCTGTCATCGGCTGAAGCAGAATACATCGCTGTGATAGAAGCAGTTCGCGAAGGCCTGTACTTGCAGGAACTGTTGCAGGAAGGAACTATTCCAACTTCGCCTACCTTTTGCCTTGACTGCGACACCAGAGTGCCATAAAAATCGCAAACAAGACGGGTTTCCTGAACCGCACGAAGCACACTGCGCTTCGGTATTTTTTTGTCAAGGACGAAATTGACCAAGGGAAAGTTGACCTTGCGTAGTGCCCAATCACCGAGATGGCAGCTGACTTCCTCACCAAGCGTCTGCTACGTCAGCAGTACAAACACTACTCTAACCTCACCGGAGTAGTCAAGCGAGTCAGCCCCTTGTGCATCCAGGAATGAAGGGGAGTGTTACAATATAAAACCATATGAGAAGGCAATCCTGTATGCTGCAGGAGCTGACTCTACCGAGTATGAAGTCGAGGAGTCAGAAGAGTCGAAGCGACGCAACAACCGTCTGACCAAGACCGATGCAGGCAGAAACATTTGAAGTGAAAAGAGCGGGAACAGGTTTGAAACGGGTTCCCGTGCTGCACGGTTTGAATTCGTTGCAATAAAGAAATGTACCCCTTTGAGTACATGGCTACCCTAGGTCTTTTCGTATTCCCTTGTATTCTTATATAAACCCGATGTATGCATCACTCAGTCATTTACATTCACTCTGACCTGAGATTCTAACTTTCGCTGCAAAACACTACTCTGCGATCAACCCTGAACGATCTTTACGCTAAGTCCCATTTGGGTTTGTAACACAGTTCAACCCAGGCAGTCCCGCTCAGAGTGGTAGGCTAGACTAGTTTTGAATCGGGTCAAATTAAGTTTTCTAGCACGCTCTTTCAAACCATGAGAGATCGTGCCCGTTCCTGATTTTCTTTAACCATATCGACGGTTTTTCATTTGGCGGGCTGATTTTTTGTTTGTGGGTGGGGCAGCCACGTACATCAGTAAAAGTTTCGGCAAGTAATTTCCCAAGAAATGCATGGTAACTTCTTGCTTTCAGGAAAGAGACTTCCTTTCAGTGTGAGTGGACGCCTAAGGCTACGAAACATGTCGCAGGCTTTCCCAGTTCCAGTGGGCCCAGTGTGACTGGAAGGCTACCAAACAGGGCCGGAGGTTTTGAGCCTGTCTGATGCATCAAATGGCGTGATTTTTTCTGTCTGATGCATAAGAATTTCCGAAAAAACATTTCTGCTGAATCAGAAATTTTTGTTTGTTTTGGCCCTATTCGATTGCACTTCATTCTTTTGTACAGACACATCACAATATGTCCGAGTCAGCCCTAGGGTTTCCGAACCTAGGGTCACTACACTCCATAGTCAAATTGATGCGCACACAATCTTGCTTGACAATTGTTTAGATTTGACAGCTGTGGAAACAAACAATTCTCTCACACTCAAAACTGCGTGCATACCATGTAAAACAACCAGCTCCAGAGCCCTGCATTACAGACACTACTGGACAAAACGGGTACTAGTACCAACTGCAATCTCAACCCCACGAGTCATTTCAGCACAAAAGCGAGTAACCCTTGACAAGAAATGCGACCCATAAAATAATATAATAACGATTTTATGGGAAAACTGTACAACTGACGTTTTAGAGTAAACTTTGAAGTAAACATTTTCTGGGGCCACGCAGCTACCGAGCTACCGAGCCACGCAATACTTTATTGGGCTGTGGTTACCCCTGGACTTCAAAGCTATCAAACAAGGCCTTTATAGCCCTTCTCATTTCACATTGGAATGCAAAGAAGGCGCAACTGTGGGATTGGAACTCCAATGTTCACCATTGTGAAGCCATCCACAACTAACTAGGCTATCAATGTTGCAACAACGGAGGTCGGGGCGTGCAGCTCCTTCAACACCGTCCACGCCTTCGGACCACACTCAGCCTCCGGCAGCAGGTGCATGACGTGGTGACGCTGGTTCAGCTCCAAACTCTGCGACATCAAGTAGTAGCCAGCCGAGGCGCGCTCGTCCCAATCTTCCTGAAGGGCGGGGTCACTCGGTCTAGGCTCCTCCCCAATCATTAGTTTCAGCAATCCGATTTGACGGAAATAAAGTTGCATTTTCCAGGCCCAATCATCATAGCCCTCACCATTGAACTTCTCGACGGTGAAGTTTTTCAGCACCTCCTTGATCAGCGAGCCCTGGCTTGTTCGCGCTCCCCTTGGCGCAGAAACACCAGAATCATGGCTGCCGCTACGATCTTGGGCTGAAGTTTCACCAGCTACCGCCGAGGTGTTGCCCGCCATAGCTACCTATAACGAGGATCACTATAACGCAGCTCTGATACCAGCTTGTTGGTGTAAGGGCCTAATAAACTCAAGCTATTAAGACTTTATCACACTTAAAACCTCTCCTCGGGGTCACCTCCAAGGGTCCTTGGGTGCCTGGTACAAGACCAGCCCCTATCCTCGGGTCCGAGTTTGTAGAGAGAGGGATCAAGAGGGACTTAGTCAAAACAGCAAGAGTACCTTGAACGTCGCGCAGCGTATCGTGCAGACCGTCGATCGGATTAAGCTGAGAATTTCCTATATCGAAGCTCACTCTAAGAGCTTTAAAATAAGCCAAGTTGCCTCGCGAAAAGTTCTGCCATTACGAAGTTATGGCTCGGACAGCGTTAGCCTAGCGTTGGAGTGCTAGCGTACTAGCGTTGACTCGGGTAGCGTTCCGCCATCGCACCGCGTAGAAAAGAAATTCCAGCAAGGAAGGAATTCGCTTGAATCAATTTTACTATGTTCTGGTACAAACAGAGAAGGAATAAATAGCTCTAGCTAGCAAGGACCTTGGGAATCAACCTGGGAACAACCAGGGATGATCCCAAATAATTCCAAGCAACAGAACCAACCTGGCTGGACAAAATAGCAGGTGATAGGTTGGTGAACAACCTCTGGTTCTGTTTTTCCAACCTGGGAAAACAACAACCAGGTTCAGGTCCTAAAAACAGAACCTGTTTTGTCTTTGCCCAACCAGCCAAATGTTGGTTCCGCTGGTTTCCCCTGGCCCTGTAGCATGCAGATACAGACAAACAACATCCAACCTTCACCTAAATTGTACCCCTATAGTGCCTGCCCTGCTACACTATAGTCAACCAAACAAAACAGTACAATTTCGAGTTGGATAGAACTGAATCTGCGCAATCAAGTAAGTTGAACCGCAAAGCTTCCATCTTGGGTTCCTTTGCGAGCTCGTCCTTTCTGCTTGTACTGTTCATAGCGCGTACAATGTTATGCCGAAGCGCACATTTTGCGAGTACCTGCAAATGCTTCAAGCGAAAATTGCGAAAGCAAACAAACACACAAACATACCATTCACACGCAAATGCATTCGCACACGCATACTCGTACAAACAGACGGCAGGATGTCGTGCAATGTGAATTTGCACCCAACAGTTATGGTGCACACGAGTTTCGAACTGGAGACCTTTCGATTCAAGTGTCCCGAAAGTGTCTTGTCAAGACAGATTGGGGACAGTTTGGGGACAGATTGGGGACAGTTTGGCGAAATCGGTCTCGGGTCGCGTTCGGTTTGAAACTTGGCAGCGAAGTGTCGAAGTCAACGGAATTCGCACGGGAGTTACAGTCGGTGGTCGACGGAATTCTTGTCGCGAAAATTCTCGTCTACGGAATTCCAATCAATGGAATTCGCTTGGCGAAATTCAAGGCTCCGAATTTCGCGTTGACGAAATTCAACGTGCGACCCTGGGTCGACACTTTCTTGTGTGCTTTTATTTTGTATTGCGTCCTAGTATAAAACAAGAGAGCACTAACTAGAACCATCCAAGTCATTACCAATGCTATCTCTGGCTATAGTGGACCGTTTCCTGCAATCTTTGGTGCTTTGGAATCGTGCTTTCAAGCTCTATCAAGCTGCTTTAGTAGTGGAATTCTACATGGTATCAGAGCTGCGTTATCTGCGTCGATCCAAATAGTGGCTTGATTTTGTCCTCCTATCACTTCGTTCCCACGTTGGTGTGGCCGACGCTCGTTTTGACTGCACATGGAGTGGTTAACGAGCGCTGAGGGTGTGAATGCCCGTCAGGAGCTGGAGGCGTCCGTTCATGAGCACCACCCTCACTTGCGTGATGAGGAGGTTGACCTCATTGTGGACGGCCGTCTACTACGCATGGTTTGGGAGCGCGCGGCGGAGCAAGCACCTGCAAGCGGCCAGCAAGGAGGAACTGGTGTAGGAGGAGCTGTGCTCGAAGCTCCAACTGCCGTGGGCATTGATGGAGGAGGTGTTGCACTGACCATTGACACGGGAATGATCGGGACGAGCTACGGTCAATTCAAGTTTGGAGTTGAACACATCTCCGTGACGCCGCTGCTGGAGGGAAGGCACGACCTTACCGCGTGGGTCAGCGCCATCCGACCTCAGCTCCAGTGTGCTCATTTGTGGCAGTTTTGCAACGGGACAGCACCAAGCCCAGCCCCGAACAACCCCTTGCAACAAAGGGAGTATGCAAAGGGCCAAATGCTTGCATTCATGGTGCTGAACCGATGTGTTTCTCCACCCATCCAAATGTCCATCTCTGGTTTCTCTCAGCAAGAGAAAGCCGGGCAGCTAGCATGGGCATATATCCTATCTACTTATCAAATTCGTGATGCCCTCCATGCTTCCCTACTTCAGACCCAGTTAGCCCAACTTAGGAAGGGAGACGATGAGACGGCGGAATCCTACTGCAATAAGGCCCGCACCATCCGAGCGGAGCTGCTGACCATTGGACAAGAGGTCCACATGGCTACGTTTGCCGCTCACGTGCTGAAGGGCCTGCCACGAGAGTACGGATTTCTTCGCCGCAAGCTCAAAATTTCCAGCCCTGACATGACGGTGGAACGCGTGTGCAGCGAGGTGTTGATGGAGGAGCAGACTCTTTCCATCGAACAGAGCTACAAGCATATCACCAGCGATGTATCTGCTTTTTCGGGCGCTGACAACACCATCATGGCTACAACGGAGGTCAACGGGAAGGAAGGAAAAGGGGGAAGGGAGCAGATGGACAAGAAGAAGGATGGCAAGCGGGAGAAGAAGCGAGCCCTCTTCAAGGGGCGCTGCTACAACTGCAATGAGGAGGGGCACATGGCTGCCAAGTGCCCCAACAAGAAGAAAGATACAACGCCTACGGCAGCCGCGAATGTAGCTGAAGGAGACGAGAAGGGTGTGGCACTCACCGTCGCGTGTTCGGCTTCAAAGCTGCTGGCTGACAGCAAGGACTTGTGGTTCCTTGACTCAGGATGCTCCCAACCCATGACCGGCTGCAAGGAGTGGTTCACGGTGATCCGCGACCCATCTGCAACGAAATCAGTCAAAGGGTTTGATGGTTCTATGCAAGAAGTTGCCGGTATTGGTGAGGTTTTGCTGGAGGGCACTAACGGCTTGCGTGTGACCCTACATGATGTCCTCTTTGTGCCAGGAATGAAGGCCAACTTGGTCCCCCCTAGGCAGCTCTTGGACAAGGGAGCAAAGCTGCAAACCGAGGAAGGTGTCACTCGCATCATCGCATCAGGAGGTCAAGTGGCTGCAACGGCACGATACCGCCATCGCCTTGACTGCCTTGACCTGAAACCGGGGCCAGCAAGGAACGGTGCAACGGCACGGCGGCTGCAGCGGCATGCACCAATATGGTGGGTGGAGCAGCGAGCAACAGCACAGGGGCTGCAACGGCATGCAACGGCACGGCGGCTGCAGCCGCATGCAACGGCAGGGCGGCTGCGGCGGCATGCAATGGCAAGGCGGCTGCGGCGGAATGCAACGGCACGATGGCTGCAGCAATATGCAACAATACGGCAGCATGCAATGGCATGGCGGCTGAGGTGGCATGCAACGGTATGCCTAAGACATTTGTTGAGGTGGTGTCAAGCGCGCCAGAAGAGAATGACGAAGCGGCCAACCTCACAACATATGCAGTGGGGACCGAGGCGATGCTCAACCTGCGGCACACTCACCTTGAGAATGACCATGCTGGTGTGGTGCAGTGGACAGCCACAAACAGTGGCATGCTAGGCATGGACCTAGAGAAAGGAGGAACGGACACGTCGAGCGCCTCCTCCCAAGAAGCCAAACTCACTCGTCAAACGCTTCCGCTGCCTGACGAGCGAGAGGGGGAGGTTCTTGGGATGGTCCATGGCCCTGAGCAGAATCAGCCGCCGTCACGTATCATCATCATAATCCCAGTGCCGTCCGTGCAAGGGGGAAAACAACCGTTTGATCGTTCAGTTGACTCTGCGGGCAGCAACGCAAACATGGCTCCGTTAGCTCTCTGTCCATCCTTAGCTGCTGGCTTGGCACCTGTGGGACCAGAGGTTGGTCTCTCTGCGGATGGACGTCATGCAGCTGATGAAGACAAAGAAGGAGAGGCAACGGATCTGAAATCGACGGCAACCCGTGGGAAGGACCCCATACCCACGGTTCCGCCCCTCCAGCCCATTCCCCCACCCCCATGTCATTCTAGCAGGTCCAACAAGGGTATGCCACCTGTTCGGCTTCCCGCATCCACCATGACAGCCTTGGATGCGGTTGATGACAACAACATGTACGGCATTGCATTCCTTGCTGGAGGTGCTTATGGCACGGACATCTACTATGATGTGGAGTACTTGGATGAGGCTTATGAGGAGGAAGGGGGATTGAGGAGAATCATCATCAACCTCGAGGTAACCTTGACCGGACCTGAAGGCAAGGTGGTGGACAAAGGTCTCCTCATGGCGGACTACATGTCATCCACGAAAGGCTATCTTGGTCTGCAGATTGTGTGCGACCACCCCAACAAGACACTCCTCCTGCACTAGAATGCATACGTGGCGAAGGTGCACCAGCGGTTCTTCAAGGGGGCGCCACCGAAGAAGCAGCCGATCACCCCTCTCTCCTCTACCAGCTTTGTCATGGAGGATGCTGAGCTGTTTGCCGATCACACCATGACCAACCGCCTTGCAGTAGGTACACACCTCAGGACGGATGCGCATTGGCATGAGCTCTTCTGCACACTCTCTTACTGGGCTGCCTCACCGAACAAGGGGCTGCTGTTCAAGGGAGGACCAGAGAGTTCGACTCTCATAGGGTATGCGGATGCGGATGATGCAGGCGACAAGGAGAACCGGTCGTCCATGGGAGGCTACCTCTTCAAGCTTGGCGGAGCTGCTATTTCATGGCAGGCCAAGAAGCTACAGGGTGCGACCAAACTTTCCTCCACCGAGAGCGAGCTTGTGGCTGCGGTGGAAGCGGGAAAGGAGGGGCGCAAGCTAAGGTTCCTGCTGTGGGAGTTTCAACTGCTCAAGAAGGGTGTCCCCACCACCCTGTACGTCGACAACATGGCAGCGGTGCAGCTTAGCTAGGCGGGCGGGCTGCAGGGGCACGTGAAGCATGTGGACCGTCGCCACATGTGGCTACACGACATGGTGCGCATGAAGAAGTTGGAGGTGCAGCACATCCCTATGACGGCGCAACCCGCAAACTTCTTCACGAAGCGGCTTGACAAGGCAGCCTTCAACCGATGTTGTGCAGCAACCGGGCTGATCCAGCGTGCTCCTCACAGCAAGGGGGCGTGTTAGAAGGAAATGCTGCCATGAGCAACAAAATGTCTGCGCTGGGATTCGAACTCGTAACCTTCGAATCTGTCCTGAAAGTGTCTCAGGACAGATTCAGGACAGTTTCTGCTAAGGCGCTGGTTATGGTGCACACGAGTTTCGAACTGGAGACCTTTCGATTCAAGTGTCCCGAAAGTGTCTTGTCAAGACAGATTGGGGACAGTTTGGGGACACATTGGGGACAGTTTGGCGAAATCGATCTCGGGTCGCGTTCGGTTTGAAACTCGACACCGAAGTGTCGAAGTGAATGGAATTCGCACGGAAGTTACAGTCGGTGGTCGACGGAATTCTTGTCACGGAAATTCTCGTCTACGGAATTCCAGTCATTGGAATTCGCTCGGCGAAATTCAAGGCTCCAAATTTCGCGTCGACGAAATTCAACGTGCGACCCTGGTCGACACTTTCTTGTGTGCTTTTATTTTGTATTGCGTCCTAGTATAAAACCAGAGAGCACAAACCAGAATCATCCAAGTCATTACGACTGCTATGTTTGTGTGTATCTCTGGCTATAGTGGACCGTTTCCTGCAATCTTTGGTGCGTTGGAATCGTGCTTCTGAGCTCAAGCTGCTATAGTAGTGGAATTCTACACGAACGCTGCAGCAAGTAGGTTGCACAGCGTTGCACCCGCATGACAATGGCGCACCTGCTTCGCAGGTGCTCGCAGCTGGTTGGTGCACCACTCCTCGTCATGTGCACAGCGCAGACGCCAGGCAGAGTCCACGCCAGCAACTGCGCCCACCAGCCACGTCGACCTCGGGATACCACTTCTGAGGTCGGCCTCGCAGAAGCCACCCAAACAACCTTTGCACACGTCGTCTGGGTAACTCGGTTGTCCAGGCAACCACGCCTGGCCAGTCCTCTGCTGCACTTGGCCGGCATCCCAAAGTTGGCGCCAGTTGTTCGATGCCCAGCGTTTGACCACACTGGCTCGGCACCCTGCTACTCGCTGCCCTGCTACCAGGCACCCTCAAGCTCGGCGCCTTCCAACTCCCCTGTCCAGGTCAATGTCGGCGCCCCACCTCGTCGACCACCGGGTCAAGTCGGCCGTCGGCACCTTGTAGTCGGCGGCATAACAGTGGCCTCGTGGAGGTCTACCAAATTCGTCGACTTGCCTGCTGAACTCGGCGTCGCCCACTGCAGCTGATCGGTGGCACTCATTGTACACCCGACTGCGTATTCGGCTCCACCCAAGCAAGGACAGGGCCAACCACAACTCCCGTTGACATCCGTGATCCACCCTGAGCTTTGTGTTGTTGTTTCACTTGATTGGTCTTGTGACTACTTAGCCTAAGAGGGTATGGCAAACTATATATATGCTTATAATAATGTTAGGTCCGCTAGGCTGTAGTGAGGTTCATGATATAGGGTATAGGTTTTCTGTCGATAGTTGTACTAGTACCTTCTACCCACAAATGAACCACATTCTCTCTCTACCTATGTGGCTTAATTTCAGAGAGTAGCAAGTCTGAAATCAGACAGTCTGATGCACGCGATGTTTGCGGGAATCTTCACACAATGTCATAGGTCGGCGAACAGGAGCCGTTGATGACGATGATTCAATCGCAATTGTCCGTCGTGCTAAATGTGGCCCTGTTCGAAGGGGCAAGAAAATAAGGATGACCGCAAAGTCGGTGTTCGAAATCGTTTAGAGCCTAATTGGAATGAACTCAAACTATCACTCGGAACATTGTACAGTGTTGACAACCACCTTCTCTCAAACATCCCGAACTCCCGTTTCCTTCCCTTCCTTAATCACTTTGCCGAGACGTAGTTTCCCCCGCAAGACAAAAATCAATTGGAAAAACAATTGGATGTGACTTGTAGGGCGACATTGCTCAGGCGAGCGTACAAGTATGCCCCAGGGAAACGCGAAGTAGACTCTCAGCTGCCCAACAACTTTACCTACTCATCTTATCCTTACCATAGCATGGCGAGTGTGTAGTTGTGAATATTTTGCTTGTGTTTACTGGGCGCTATGGGCGGCAGCTCGGTATCTCAAACCGCTGATGAGTATTGATGAGTTTAATGTTTCGAAACCGCGAGGTCTGGTGACGACAGAGGTCGCATGGGGGTTGCACACGATTTTAGGGCTCCCGAACCTACATTTTCATTTATATCGTGCTGGTTTCCCCCTCAGCCAATGTTCTCCCGAACAGGGCCTGTATCTGACGAAGCTGTCAGAAACTGCCAAGGGGCTCTCTCTCACCCCCCTTGAAGAGGAAGGCAGTTTACCAAAGTTGTACAGTGTTAAGAAATGAGGAATGAAGAAGAGAGAGAGGTTCACTAGCGAGCAGTTGAGTACATATAGGAAACCCTAAATTGGGCTGTACTCACTATTGAGTACCCCACTGCACGCTAGACGAACATAACATTCTGACACACCCCCATAGCCAAAGTGGGGTGTAATCAGCACAACAAGCAAGCTCAGGGTGGATCACAATGTCACCACACAATCTGAGCGCAAGTACAAGAAGCAACAGTTTAAAGTTCACAAATGTAAGCAAAGCTAGAGGCTATCACCGAGGGCAAGTGTGGAGGAGGAGGGACTATGAGAGGAGAGGAGGTAGTGGGCGGCAGCTGAAGCTGCTGGCACACGGCGCAACTGGAGCAACTGGCACACGGGCAACTGGAGCAACTGGCACACTGGCAACTGGAGCAACTGGCACACGGGCTACTGGAGTAACTGGCTCCGCGGCTAAAAGCAGCGGCAGACGAGCAAAGGACTCACGGGCGACTTGAGCAACTGGCTCACGGGCGACCGGCGCAAAGAGGTCACGGGCGACTGGCGCAACGGTCTCACGGGCAACTGGAGCTGCGGGCTTCACGGTGGCCACCCCCCTTCAACCTCCCCAAACTATCCCACCCCCCTTTCACACACCCCCTGCTACACCCTAGGTTCACTCACACCCCACCCCCTAGCACCACTCCGTCGACTCCCACACACCCACCCCCCTCAGCGGCAGCTGCAGTAGTGGGAGACAGAGGAGGAGGAGGAGCAGGGGAGACCACACACCCGCCACCCCCCACTCGCCACCCCCAGACCTTAACACAGGGCAGGGCGGGACGGCGGGTAGGGAGGTTACGAGGGGGGGGAGGGGGCGACGCGCGGCCTCCCAGGGCGCCAAAACAGGCGGCAGAAGGGGCGGCGCTTGCCCCCCCCCCCCACGTTGCCTCGACAGGCGACGGGAAAAGAGGGGGGGGGGGGGGGGGGGCGTTGCACGGGCCCCCGGTGCGCCGCGCCAGGCGACAAAGCATGGCCGGGGCGAGGCCGGGGCAGGGTTGGGGCAGGGCCGGGGTAGGGGCGAAGCAGGGCCTCGACATGGCCGCGACACGGTCGATCGGGGTGGCGACGGGGCAGGTAGAGGCGGCGACGGGGCCGCGAAGAGCAGCGACGGGGTTTCTATGGGCGGCGACGGGGCCGCGAAGGGCGGCGACGTGGCCGGTAGAGGCGGCGACGGGGCCGCGAAGAGCGGCGACGGGGCCGCAAGGGGCGGCGACGGGGCCGCGAAGGGCGGCGACGTGGCCGGTAGAGGCGGCAACGGGGCCGCGAAGAGCGGCGACGGGACCGCTAGGGGCGGCAACGGGACCGCTAGGGGCGGCGACGAGGCCGCGAAGGGGCTGCGAGGGGCCTGGAAGGGCGGCGACGGGCCATGAAAGGGGCGGCGACGGGGCTGCGAAGGGGCTGCGAGGGGCCTGGAAGGGTGGCAACGGGGCCGCGAAGGGGGCCGCGAGAGGCCTGGAAGGGTGGCAACGGGCCGATAAGAGTAGCGCGAGGGGCACGCCACGGGGCGTGAAGCACACTGAGTAGCGGAAGCAGTTAGGTGGGCCTAGAGGCCAGGAGTGTAGATGCTCTGATAGAATGTTAAGAAATGAGGAATGAAGAAGAGAGAGAGGTTTACTAGCAAGCAGTTGAGTACATATAGAAAACCCTAAATTGGGTTGTACTCACTATTGAGTACCCCACTGCAGGCTAGACGAACATAACATTCTGACATACAGCTGCACGGGCACAAAAGCTGCCTCCATCTCGACACCGAGGGTAGTCAAGAACTCCACCCCCATCCGAATTTTTTAGCAGCTGCACTACCAAAATTGTTGTCAGTGGCAAAATCCCACTTGTAAAAACTTTATAATATTCCCAGGGTAAATACTATCGATGTCCATTGAAGGTATCTTTTTCTTTTTGTGCAGGGACTGAAGCTTC